GCAAGCGCTCACTCTCCTCAAAGCTCAGACTCTGGCAAGATGGTCACACAAGGCACAGAAGTCGTGCCTGCGTTGCCTCCACTTCGCTTCCAGTGTTGAGAAACTTACACGCAAGTCTACAAGCTCGTAAGCGGCACGCAATGGAGCCACCAAGGAAGAAGGCCAAAGAGGGCACCATGCTTCTGACCTTGGGAAACCCATACTGACCTACTGACATCAAGAAACCCATGCCTAATGTCAGCAGCTCTGCCCGCAGGCCATGTCCATATCATCTCTCTGGGAAGATCTCGCTGATGGCACCAAACTCTGCTGGCTGTGAAGCTTCGCTGCCGAGAGCTGTGAAGGAGACAACATTTAAGCCTTTCACATTTGTCTTTACAGCACATCTTAACGATGATATAACAAGGCTGTTCTGTTGTTATGTGTGTGCACTTTTGCATCAATTGTGTTTGGGTAAGCACCAGGGTGCGCTGTGCAAGTTGGAATGGTGAACCTCGTAGCACAACTTTGGTTTCTGGCGGCTGCTTGTTTTGCAATTTCCGCTACTCGGCCAGCCTGGCTTCACCTCCGTGGATGCTGGGCGAAAAAATTCGCGTTTGCATGCGCAAAAGCCTTGACATTGTGGAGCTCCAACGCAAACACGAGCCACCATAAAGGGCCGAATACAAAACGACCCTGTTTCTTCTGCTTTGGTTGGTGGGGCTTACGAAGAAAAGCAAAATTGAAAAACAAATCCACTGCTCGATGACTCCTGACGCTGATCGGGATGCTGAGGATGCTCGGGATGACGCTCATTCACGAGGGCCTGCAGGCTCTAGAATTCCTGGCAGACTTACAAAGATAAACGGCAGCATAACCCGCAAAAGTAGGGAACACCAAACCACTAGGGAACACCAATTCAGTAGAAATCTTCTTTTAGGTGAGTTCCACTGTTCCTTCATCTGCCGACCTCGCGCACATAACATCCCTGACATCTCATGCGCAGACTTAGTCATGCAAACGGAGAAAGGGGACGGAGAACGGGTAATAACGGCTCGAAGGACCTTGTGTCTGCAGCGGACCGGATGGCGTTGAGGATCGCAGGAATCCCCTGTGCCTGGAATAGGCCAGCCTCGCAACAGGTCACGGAAGCAAACTGCAAGCCATCCTGGTTCACTATGGTTCACTAGCCCTGCTCCTACCCCCTGCTCCCGGACCCGAAGCCATGCCCCCCCCCACGCACTGCCCGGTCCCTCCCACAACGTGGGTTGCTGCCCCAAACGAAAGGCCTGGCACCGATATCTTCACACCAACTTGCACACCTCACGCACTCCGCCGCCCCGCCTGTCACGAAACTGTCGGCGTGCGGGTTCACCCTACAAAGGCGCCTAAAATCCTAAAATAAATGGCTGCTGCGAGCGACCCAATGCCCCCACATGATCCTGTTCAGGGAGAATGAGACGGGGAACTGGGCCAATGATGTCAAAAGCAGGAGCACCAAAACTGCTCTCTCAATCATGTTTTACCTGACTAAACCAAATCTTGCAGTGGGACACTAAGCAATCTTACGCCCCCATGAGAACTACTAGGTGGGACACTACAGCACATCCTGCTTCACGATGAGAACTATTGAATGGGACATTAACGTACATCCTGCGGTAGGATACTAAAACAAAACCTGCTTCCCCATGAGAATTATTGGGTTGGAGAGTAAAACAAATCCTACTTCCCCGTGAAACTATTGGGTAGGATAGGACACTAAAGCAAATCCTGTGGGGACACTAAAGCATATCCTGTGTCCGCATCAATACTAGGTGGGACACTAAAGCACATCTTGCGGTGGGACACTAAAGCAAAGCCTGCTTGCCCATGAGAATTATTGGGTGGAATCACTAAAGAAGATCCTACTTCCCTGTGAGAACTACTGGGTGGGACGATGGGACACTAAAGCACGTATAACTTCCCGATGAGAAGAACTGGGTGGGACACTAAAGCAAATTTTGCTTCCTCATGAGAACTACTGGGTAGGATACTAAAGCAAATCTTACTGAAATACATCCTGATAGAACTGCTGGGTGGGACACTAAAGCAAATCCTGTAAAGCAAATCCTGTGGTGAGACACTAAAGCAAATCTTGCTTCTCCATGAGAAGGATAGGACACTAAAGCAAATCATACGGTGGGACACTAAAGCAAATCCGGCTTCCACATGAGAATACCTGGGTCGGACACTAAAGCAAAGCTTCACCATGAGAACTACTGGGTGAGAACACTAAAGAAAATCTTGCTTCCCATGAGAACTATTGGGTGGGATACTAAAGCAAATCCTGCGGTGGGACACTGAATTAAATGGCATGTATGTGTGTATGTATGTACGTACGTATGATTGGATGCAAATCCTGCCTCCCCATGAGAACTACTGGGTGGGACACTAAGCAATCCTGCTTCGCATGAGAATTATTGGGTGGGATACTACAGAAAATCCTGTGGTGGGACACTAAAACAATCCTGTTTCCCCATGAGAACTACTGGGTGGGATACTTTCTTTCGGTGGGATACTAAAGCAAGTCCTACTTCCCCATGAGAATTATTGGGTGGGACACTAAAGCAAATCCTGCGGTGGGACACTAAAGCAAATCCTGCTTCCCCTGAGAACCGTGGGACACTAAAGCAAATCCTGCGGGGATACAGAAGCAAATCTTGCTTCCCATGGGAAGTACTAGATTTACAAGATGGGACACTAAAGCAGATCTTGCGGTGGGACGCTAAAGTAAAACCTTCCCCATGAGAACTAGTGGAGGGAAACACTAAAGGTCGCAAGCATGCACAACGCCAATGAAGATGCACTAAGTGGCAGGAGCAAAGCAAACTGAGCTTTCTTGTGCCCATCTTCGCAGACTCCCAAGGATTCCCGGGCGACATCTGCCCGGAGAATGTCGTTTCTACACCTGGCAGTACATAAGTACTCGAGAGATCGGTGCAACCACCGAGCGGCCGGGTTCATGGGCGACAGCTGGATGGCGACGACTGCACCGCTCTTGTACGGCGAAGGTGCATGTCGCAAAAGTGCTGGACCTAGCAGATACCCAGAAGCAAGGGTGACAGCTGGGGCACCAATCAAGAACCTGCTCGCAGGCAAGAGCTCTCTGGCGTGCCACAATTGCTTGGCATCAGCAACCGTCCGACCATTGCAGCGCGTGCACGATTCACAGCATGAGCCACGTACACTGCCGATTTATCCTTGCCTCGATGCCAGCATGAAGGGTGCCAACACCCTCGCCAAGCAACACCAGCAGCACGACCACGAAGTACCATGGCAGCGCAGCATCTCTTTGAATGCGTTGTGTAATATCAATATGACTTACATCACAGGCGCCTGTGCCAATGGAGCCCACGACTTGAATCGCCTTGAACTGCAGCGACGCACGTTCATCTTTTGAAATTGTGAAACGTAGATCCGGTGCGGTGTGCTGGGTCCTCTACTCACAACTGGCTTCAAGGGCATAATCCGGTACCGGACGGATTCTGGAGGGACGCACCAGTTTCACGTTGACAATCGCTTGGGCGACACGCTCCAAGGCATGTTCGTAGTCACCATTCCTCCGCCGGCTGCCGCAGCCACTGCTGCGGTTCGCGACCTCCAGGAACTGCAGAACCGCCGCAAGCAGCCCAGATGGCTGCCGACTGATCGAAATGAGGCCCTCCTCTTGCAGCTTTTTGCAGCGCATGCTTGCCGGCAGGAGCTGGTTGTCAGGCGGCCTCCAGTCCTCGAGGATTGCGTTGCGCCAGAAAGCAGCCTCATTGTTCGCTCTGCTGCGGCAGACGTCTGCAAACGTGTGGCCACTGTTCTCCTGTTGACCCGCGCAAGCCAAGCGCTGAGCCTGTGCATCACCGCTCGCTTGCCTTTGCAATGGAAGAAGGCTTCCTTCAGCTCCATCCGGCCAAAATAAAATTGTGCAACTTTGCGATACTTTTCGAGGATAACCTTGCCATCGGCGCTGGAATGCTGCAGCAGCGGAGGAGCACCTTGAGGCGAAGATGATGCCGGTGAGGCAATCCCAGACAAGCTGGACTTCCAGAAGCTTCTCACCAGTTGGGATTCCAGGCCCTCTTCTACGCACCAGACGCCAGACGCACCAGTCGAACTGTGTGGCCATCGGCAGCAGTCATTGCCAGCAAGCCGGCGTGTGCAGAGGAACGAGAAGACCAACATTCACCTGCAA